AAATAAATAAAAATGAAGTATTGTGTAGTAATGTTTTATGTATGATGCAAATGGTATATATACTATTTATTATTACTTACAATGTTAGATGGGAAAAGACTTAGATTTGGGGTTCTAACTTGTTAAAGCATTGAACAAACTAGAGCAATCTAAACGAAATAGAATTCAAAGGAGAGAAAAGAATTGAATTAAATAAAGAATTTTATTTTAAATATATCAAGTTAAAGAGTTATTCTAAATAACCTATTAACTTGATCATTAAATATAACTAGCCTAGATTCTATCAAAATTTCGGCAAAACCTCCCTAAAAATAGGACTATCCCATCAATAAAAATCATAATAACATTGTATGTTTTCATTCAATACACACAGCCCATCCATCGGGCATTTAATCAAATCAAACATCCATCCTTCTTCAATAGCAACATCATAGCTAACAAACCATTTAAATCGTCTATCCATTATACATTACTCATTTATACACACACACACACACACACACACATATTACAATAAAGAATTTATTTTAATATATCTAAGTTAAAGATTTTATTCTATAACCTATTAACTTGATCATTCTAACATCCATTACACAATAGCCTAGCCATTCTATTCAACATTTCGCAAAACCTTCCCTAATAAATACGGACTATTCCATTCAAATAATAAATCATAATAAACATTGTATGTTTTCATTTCAAATACACACAGCCCATCCATCGCGGCATTTAATTCAAAATTTCCATAACAGTCCATCTCTTCTTTCAATACAACATCATAGCCTAACAAATACCATTTAAATCTCTATCCATTTATTTACATTTACTCTCATTTATATCACACACGACACACACACACACCACAACATATGTCCTCTTCTAAATGCAACTCAGAGCTAAAAAACTCATAATGTCATTGCTTACACAACTTGCAGGAATTGAAGTTTCCTATTGGTATAAAGATCATGGATCTAAACATTAACTAAACCTTCAATAGCAACATCATAGCTAACAAACCATTTAAATCGTCTATCCATTATACATTACTCATTTATACACACACACACACACACACACACACATATGTCCTTCTAATGCAACACAAAAACTCAAATGATTGCTACCAACTTGCAGGAATTGAAGTTTTCTATGTTAAAGTCATGGATTAAACATTAACTAACTATTCCTATCAAATTCAAATCTACAACTTTAATATACTCTACTAAGCTATAACTTACCAAAAATAAACTGAAATAATTATTGTCAAATCCAAAAGTCTAGGCTTCATGATTAAATTTTCATACTTTACACACTAGCTAAATCAGTGAAAGAAATCATAGCCTCTTCTCTCTCGCTTGTGCTACGACGAACCGAAGATAGAGAAAGCGGGGGTCGGTGGGGTTGGTGGCAAGCTGATGGTGGTCAAGTCAACGGAGCTTGAGCTTTGGTGAATGGAAAATCGAAGGGAGAGGGGGGAGACGGGCCTGTCGCTGAAAATGGGGAGAGAAGAGGGAAAGAAAAATGGGACAAACTAGTAACTTTCAGTTTTCTAGGACCTTCTAATTGGTTCTAGGCTGATTTGGGTTTGATTTAAGTTTGGTTTGGCCCAAATTTTTGTTTGGATTTTATCTTGGTCTCTTGATTTTACTATAGGTTTAGTTAGATTTTAGGGTTTGGTTTAGCAATATAAAAATATATTTGAATTAAATTTTATTAAATAAATTAATAAGGCATTAGTTTATTTATTTTGAGTAAAATAATGCTTTACAATATAATTTGTTTATAATTGATATTTAAACTTTTAAAAGAAAAATTTTGAAAATAAAATTCCAGTTTCTTTTAAATTGTTAATTAGATTGGTTAATACTATTCAATTAAACATATTAAACTAGAAAACATAAAAATAGAAAACCGAAATGTTTTTTTATGCTAACCCTAAAATAAAACCGAATATCAAATAAAGTTAAAAATCCAGTTAAGAAACACGAAGAATATGTCAAAAATTTTTAACTCAATTGAGAGAAAATTATATAAACTTAGTTTATATTAATTTAAGTTACTAAAAAATTTAAAAATAGTTCAAATAAAACTATTAATAAAATAATAAATGATTAAATAATAAATGATGAATTGATATTTATGATTAACATAAGTACGTTAGCTAACTCTTATAATATACACTTCTAAAAAAATAATAAAAAGAATTCAGTTAAAAAATTAAAAAATCGGTACTTATTATTTAAATTTATTATTGTACTTTCAATACTCGAACATAAGATGTATGAGCAATATCTTAATTATGAATAATTTATGAATTATAATATAACACAATTAGGAATCTTATTATAAGACCAATTTATTATAGATTGCCAATAGAAAAAATCACCATAACAATTTTATTTTTCTTTGACTATAGGATTTATTATTATTTTAGTTCAATAACTTTTCTTCTTATTATTTTACTTTTTAATCTTAAAGATATTATTTTGCTTTAGTTATGATTATTTTTCTTTAGTTATGATTATTTTTACTTTCCACAATGTTTCAATCATAAAATTTTATATTTTGATTTCATTTTGATTTTTTTTACAATATTTATTCATTTTATCTACATACATGTTATGGTATTTACAGTAAAATATTGAATAAAAAATAACTAATTAATACATTTATTTTTCATTTAATAATTTATTAGCATTTATATAAAAACCAATCAACTATATTTTTAGAAAAAAAATAAAAAATGGGTAAGTATAATGAGTTTTAAGGTGCAAAGTAAGTTCTTAACACTAGTGTGTGTATATATATATATATATATATATTGATTCGATAGTTTACGACTATAAGAACATATTACATAATATTTAAAAAAGGAGACAAAAAAAAGTTGAGTAAGAACTACTAATCTAATCGGTGGAAATAGTTGAAATGTAGAAAATTCTGAACAAAAAAAAATGAATAATATATTTAAAAGTAGAGACCAATATACATTTGCCAAGAATATAGAAGAATATAATGATACAACTTATATATAATATTTCTAAAAAGGCTAAAGTAAGAGGGTAAATAATTTAAAATAAAAAAAAGTGTATTACTACACCATTTAAAATTTCTAAAAAGGCTAAAGTAAGAGGGTAAATAATTTAAAATAAAAAAAAGTGTATTACTACACCATTTAAAAAATAAATAAACGGAAACTTTTAGATAGGAAATGTTAAAGATAAATTAACGGTTAAATGAGGAAACGCTTGTTACTTTACAAATTTGAGAGTAAACACTTGTTACAAAGCAATAAATTAATACATTAATTGAATAATTCATTGTTATTAAACTTTGTCATTTTAAAAAAATTAATAATTAATAATAATTACTTAAAGTCATTAATACATTAAATAACCAAATCAAACCAAACCAAAAATACTAATTCAAAATTTACTTAAAGTCATTAATACATTAAATAACCAAATCAAACCAAACCAAAAATACTAATTCAAAATAAATTAAAACCAAACCAATACATTAATACATTAAATACTCAAATCAAACCAAATTAAAACATTAACTCAAAATAAATCCAATCTAAACCAATATATTAATATATTGAATAATCAAATCAAACCAAATCAAACTAAAAATACTAATTCAAAATAAATTCAAACCAAGCCAATACATTAATACATCAAATCAAACCATACCAAGTGGAAATCTAATTGAAGGAATATGCCACATGTCAAATTAAAATGCCAAATGGATATATCACATATCAATCTTCTGGGAAAAAAAAAAACTTGCTTTATATATATACTAACAGTATGCCTATGCTATGCACAATAAATGTTTTTATGTATAATCTTAGAGATATCATGATAATATTTTAAAATATAAAATTTAATTAAGAAAAAATTTATAATTTAAATTATTTATAGTTTTATATTTATTAATTTTATTGAAAATTATTGAATTGAAAATTATTTAAATGTAAAGAACACGTAATTCCAAAATTCAAACATTAGACTCAATTATATAAAATTAATGCCCATATAAGATTGAAAAGAAAGTGAAATTATGATATTAAGAAATCATTGATTTTATTTAATTTTTTAATTATATAAACTTTCTTAGCACGATATTAAAAATAATAAAATAAATTAAATAAAAGTGATAATATATTCAATTCATAGAATGTTAATATAGTTAAGTGATATTTTCAATATCAAAACGCTTTCTTCTTTATGATTTATCAAAAATTTTTCCTAATTTGATAGAGTAATAGAATATTAGAAGAGAAAAAATATCAATGTCCGAAAATAATTGATCTTACAAAATTTGTATAAGTTATTGACTTATTGAATGAGGCAAGTTAAGTACTTAATACTATTTAGATTTTAATTGAGAAAGGATAGGTTAGGTATATTAAATAATTTATTATAAGTATATTACTTAATAGTAGTATCAATTAATGAGTATTTTTACTAATATGTATCAATTATGATAATTGAATGATAATTAATATCAATATTTATATAATAATATAATTAATAATTAAATTTTATATGATACTATCAAAATTAAGAGTTCTATGTAGTCTTATAATCCCATGTGTCATCTTTAAGAATCTTATGTTGTAAGAACAATAAAAGAGCAATCATTTAAGAAGTGCCACATGTCAACTTCTTGCAAAAAAAAAAAAAAACTTATTTTATATATATAAATCGATGAAATCCAATTCAAAATTAGAGATAGTTTTAGAAGAAAAAAAATATTTTTATTAGCCTCTTCAAAAGCTTAATAAATGAGCCAAACTTCTTTAAATCGAATTTAACTTATTATTAAATAAGTCCAAAAATAAAATTCAGTCCTTTAGAAGATAAATTTAAATTCAGCCGAATCAAACCGAATTGAAGGATTATTGGAGGAAAATATATACTATTTTTTTATGTAATAACTTGGAGAAAATATAGAGAAGCAGGAGGAAACTTATTGAAGAAGATATTTATTGAGGCTGTTTTGTCTATTCAACATATTTTATTATTTTATTTTAGAATTTATTTATCATTTTTGGACGAGGAGTGAGAGAGGAGGATTTTGAAAATGCCATTTCCAATTGAGTGAATTTAAGTAGAGCGGGAAAATCAACCACCATTCCCTAAATCCAAAAGTCAAGCCTACAAGAAAAGAAAAGGTTTGTATTAAGATTCTTTCATAATTAGGGATTTTCTTTCTCCTGAGAATCTCCAATCATGGTCAGAACTGTCAAGCGAGAGCGCACCAGTAATAGTAATGGAAACCCAGTTGACTCGGATCGACAACTCAGAGCTGTGAAGCGAGAACATTTGACTCGGAATCGAGCTGGCGCCGCCGGAGATCAGTCATCGCAGGAAGACTTCATTGAGCGGCGAGTCCTTCGGTCTAAGTATCTTGCGTTATATAATAAGATCAATGGTTAAGCGTCTTCCATATTTTTCTACTTTTTGCTATTTATTTATTTATTTTTATGCATTTGTTCTATTTTTCATTTTGCTTTTCTGTAATTTTTGCAGATGAGAGAGATGATTTAACGAGAGTCGATTCAAAGAACTTTGCTAGCATAATTAAGGAAGTCGACAATTTGCACCAGCATGGTATTTTTTTTTTCTTTAAAATATTAATTATTACTTTTGAATTTTCTTACCCATCTGTATAGTTGCTGGAAAAATGGATATATCTCAATATTAATGGAATTGCTGTGGTTCTTGAAACTGAATAAGGAGTGGAAAGTTTGCAATTGAACTATGCTTTCATCCCAAATGTTTTACTTAAAAATAGAAGGGAAAAATCTAGAAACTGAAGATTATTATGTATTTTCAATTGTTGCACTTGACATTGTAAATTTTCTTCTTTTCAGCCTCCTTGTGGTTAGCAAGCTTTTTACTTTGCAAAGGCTTAATTATCTTGAGAGGTTTTCGTGTATAATATTCTTTTTATGCTATTATAGCGTAGAATGTATATGAAATTTTGGCTTTTGGGAATTCAGTGCTCAAGCCAAGAGAGCAAGTTGCAGATGCAGAGGCCTTGTTGGGCATAACTAACTCATTGGTGACCTCTGTTAAGTCCCAGTCCAATGAAGGGATAACTGCTGCAGATTTTGTTTCTGGTTTGCTCACAGAGTTTGGCCAATCTAATAGGACATTGGACAATGAAGGGAATATCTCTAGTTCCATCAAGTGGAAAGAGATTGGGGTTGTTGTTTCATCCATTTTTATGAAATGTAATGGGTTCACCACAATGTGAGTTACTTCTCTTTTTCTTTTTTTTTATTTATTTATTTTTATTTTTTTATATGTACCTTTTTTCTGTTCATATACTATCCTACCTTATTTTTGGTGTTAAATGTTTGTTTAATGTTGTTTACTTAAGGGTTGGACCAATGAATACTGAGTTGAAACAGAGGAGAGCTGTGGTTCATAGAAGTGATAGAAGGTGTGCAAAACCAACTGAAAAAGCTCGGCCTCAAGAGGTGATGTTATCCTTCGGTGATCAAATTTTTTTCCCTTTAAATCTCTAAAATGTGTATAATAGGTTTTCGCCTGCTTAGTAATGTATCATGCAGATAGAAGTTCTCCAATTAATAAGAGTATTAAAATGATGAATGGTTACTCCTATTTTGGAGTATAAAATTGTTGTTTGTAGGGCTTAAACAATAACTTAATAAGAGTATTAAAATGATGAATGGTTAAGGGTTGGACCAATGAATACGTGGTTGAAACAGGAGGAGAGCTTTGGTGGTTCATCAGAAGTTATAGAAGGTGTGCAAAGACCCAACTAAAAGCTCGGCCTCAAGAGGTGGAATGTTATCCCTTCGGTGATCAACATTTGGATTCTTCTCCTTTAAAATTCTTCTTTAAAGACCTGGTATCAATCAGGTTTTTGGCGCGCACTGCTTAGGTAATGTATCATGCAGAGTAGAAGTTGCTTCTCAAGTAATAAGAGTATTAAAATGAATTGAAATTGGGGTTACTCCTATTTGGAGTAATAAGAATTGTTGTTTGTAGGGCTTAAACAATAACTTGAATACAGAGTATAGATATATGATGAGATGGTTAATCTTAGTTTGGAGTATAATAATAAGAGTATTAAAATGATGAATGGTTACTCCTATTTTGGAGTATAAAATTGTTGTTTGTAGGGCTTAAACAATAACTTAATAAGAGTATTAAAATGATGAATGGTTACTCCTATTTTGGAGTATAAAATTGTTGTTTGTAGGGCTTAAACAATAACTTAATAAGAGTATTAAAATGATGAATGGTTAATCCTAGTTTGGAGTATAAAATTGTTGTTTGTAGGGCTTAAACAATGAGTACTGACACAAGTTTGTGGTTCATATACTGTAGGTTGATGATACTAGGGCAGAAGAGAAAACAGATACTGATAATAACATGTCAACAATGTTTGAGATCTTAAGGAGGAAGAAAAGGGTTAGACTTGAAAATTTGATCTTGAATAGAAGGTCTTTTGCACAGACTGTGGAGAACTTGTTTGCACTTTCATTCTTAGTTAAAGATGGGCGGGTTGAAATAACAGTGGATAAAAGCGGTTCGCACTTTGTTTGTAAGATTTATTTGACAGCAGTCAGTTCAGAATGTAGTTATACCTATATTGCACATTAATATATTCCTTGCTGTTTAGTTGATTTGTCATATTTTCCTCTTCTTCAGCACCTAGGAATGCTCCTGCTGCTGATTCTGTAATGTCACGGGAGGTTGAATATAGGCATTTTGTTTTCAGATTTGACTTCAAGGATTGGAAGGTATGCGATAAGAAATAAATTCTCATGTATAGATGTTTAGTTTCAAACTTCAGAACATGTTCTTTTCCCCACTGCCTTGTGGCATTTGATATTGCAATATATGACTATAGCTAAAGGTTCATACGAAAGTATGGTTTCTTGATAGTTGAGATGCCTAATGCTGTATATATTTGGTTGGTTGCTATTATCTTTTGAGGCTCATGAGTCTGTTCTGCCAATAATAAACTTCCAGCAAATGAGGGATGTGGTTTCGGAAGGTGATGAGCTAATGCCTGACCGAAAGAGTTCTGCTATTTCTGAGTCAGACCCATCAGTTGACGTTAACCAAGGAACAGTAGTCAGGACGCCAATCAGGAAATTGTCTAGGAACCGTGGCCTTGTCGTACATGAAGATTCAGTTGTTGAAGACTCTCCTGTTGAAGCTACACAAGGTGGCATTGGCTCCCTTAGATGTAAGCGTAAGCTCGTTTGATTCGAGCTTAGTGTATCAGGCATCAGCTATTTTGTATTGTACATGATAAATTCGGGGGGATTTTGCATAAATAGATGTTCCTGTGAATTCTTTCAATTTTGGGCACTTGCAATTTGGTGTGTGCATAACTTAAATATGCTCCATAGGATATGCAATGCAAGGATGTTTTGTTGCATTTCATAGCCTTGATTGGAGATTGAAGACGGATCAAGGACTTGTACAAACTCAAGAATTGAAAGTTACTGATTTTGCTGATTAATTTCAAATTTACCACTGAGTGGATCTGTTCAAATAAAATATTCCACTGGTTCTAGATAGAAATTGTCCTTTTAATTAGCGAATTTGATCGAGGAACTGGGTTTCATTTTCAGCTCCTACGTGCACGGATTGGAGCTCTAAAACGTTTGGGCCAAATTTAAATAAACGTACATTTCACTTGTATTAATTTATGATCTTTACATAGAATATTATTCAAATTATCAAAGAATGATAGCTATTTAGCCACTCAATAATTTTAGCAGAAGGATCAAAAGCATGTTCAAAAATGTAAAAGTATGAAAAAATGTCACATTTTATAGCTTGTGGTTTACACATTAAATTCAAAGAGAAATGACGTCAAAGGTTCCTTCTCTGTTTCTTTTCCCTACGGTTAACTCTTACATTTTCTAAAACAAGTTAGAATAGTAAGAACAACAAACGAAACAGTCCAAGTTCAGCTTCGTAAAGATATACTTGAGCTTAAAAAATTCGAACTCAGTTTATTTACAGTTTATAGTTAATTTTTTTTTCATTACAAGCTTAAACTTAGCTCGTTAAGTTTATTAAATGAATTTGGACAAATTTTTTTCAAGCCAAGCCTCCAAAAGCTCATAAGATAAGCAACTTGACTTGTTTATAGCCCTCACAACATGAATAAATTTTGGAGTAGCTCAGAATAAATTGAATGTACCAAGGAAATTCACACCTAAAAATTTTGATTTACATTAATCAGCATGTTCAATCAATGGCCCCACACTTCAGACAAAATCTCATGAAAAAAAAAGGACGAAAAAGACGCCTCAGGCAGAACCCCTTAGCGTAATGCCAATCAAGGGATAAAAGAATCAGATAGGAAAAGAAAGGCAGCACTAACTAAAGCTCAAGTTTCGTTCTTCGTGAATCTACATGCAGTTATCTCTAGTGTTTGTCTTTTGGGATGTTGAGGTCCTTGAGTATCGGACTATCGAGGCCCATGCCCATTGCATTGAGGCCATTGTCGACATATATAACAGCACCAGTAATGGCAGAAGCCAAAGGCGAAACTAAGAAGGCGGCAGTATTCCCCACCTCGTCTGTTCCATAAATTTCGTCAACTTAGGAATTGTTGAAGAAACATAAATGAAAAATGAAATATCATAAATCCAAGCGAAGAACTATTCATCACCTGCAGATAGTTCCTTTTGCAGGGGTGCATTGGCTAATGAATACTCAATCATCATGTCAATAAAACCAATTGCTTTTGCAGCTCGACTTCTTAATGGACCTGCGAGTCAATCAAAGGCAATGATATACAAAGAGTCATAGAGACTTTAACTATAAACACAGCACTCAACCTGTTGACATCAGACGAGGACCCAGAGTAGAATTAACTTGAACCAATCTACAACGCATTTAATAGAAATGGGTACAAATGACAAAATCAGTCTTTGTGGGGAGGTCTTAATATGTTCATTGTACTAAGGACCTAGTCCATGAAAAGTACAGGTAACTTGAAACCATCCCTGTGAAGATTTCTTATGCTTTACCTATACATACATAGTAGAGATATATTTACAATGTGGCAGGCATAGAATAAACAGGAACCTTGACAAACTTAGCAGTGTAAAAGGAGCCATCTCAGTTGGCAATTTTATGTTTTTAACTAAGAGACATAGCAACCGCATGGAGCAAGGAATGTGGTAACATTCAGAAAGTCCCATATTAGCCTAGAGCAATTTCATAGGGGGGAAAGGAAAATCCTCAACGGAACCATATATACTCTTTATGAACTGGTGTTGTTCAGACAGATGATGCAACAGAACAGCTTGACTTCATGATAGACTACACACTGGAGCAACATACAATGGTTCAAGGATGAAAACAAACAATGAGGCCTATGAAATTATTCCAGTGGATGCACTTGAAAGAAAAATAGTGGAGAACTGAGGGCAATGGTACCAGCAGATATTGTATTCACTCTAATTTTGCGTTTCCTTCCCGCTTCAAAAGCAAGCACCTGAACAGAAAAATAGCAAAATTATATGAAGAAGTACAATCATAAGACACATGCAGGAAAAAGTGAATACTTACTCTTGTGTCGCTCTCAAGTGCAGCTTTGGCAGAACTCATGCCTCCACCATAACTGCATATGGCAAAATTTAAGAACCATTAGCTATGGAAAGTGATAATTTAATGACACTGGAACACAGTCTAAAGAGGCATGAAAATCATACCCTGGAATGATCCTCTCAGAAGCAATATAAGTTAGAGAAATTGAAGAACCACCTGTATTGGTAGCACTCTTTAGATTCTATAGACATGTCTAATAAGTTGGGGGATAAATTCAAATAATGTTGTCAGATAGGACAAGCAGAAAAGGCATGCCTGGATTCATTATTGGTAGAAAATGCTTGAGCAAAGAAACATAGGAGTAACTAGATGCAGATACAGCTGCGAGATACCCTTTTCTTGACGTCTCCAACAGAGGTTTAGTGACCTATTATAACAACAATTAAGCCTTAATCCCAAACAATTAATAGATGATTTCATAGGTTTAGTGACCTATTACATAGATGATTTATTTGTTATGTACAAATGATGCCTGAAATTTTACAGACAGAAACTATGCACCTCTGGCCCATTAGCAAGTGAATGCACAAGAATGTCTATACTGCCAAAATCCTGTTTGACAGATTCAGCAGCTTCCTGCAAGATACAATGTCCACATAAGCGTCAATGCATAGCTAAATCTTTCACCTCTTTGTAATGTTTTAAGGCTGGCTAACAATATTTCAACTGTGAAAAGTTCAAAGTTTCAAAAATAATAAATGCATTTCTGAAACATTGCTATTGCTAGTGGCATGGGGCTTAATATCACAAACATTTGAACAACATGACATGTTATCAGGAGCATGGAATCAAACATGTCAGACTGATCATTCAATCAGAAAAATGATCCAAGAATAGGGTTTGAAGACTTTGAGGCTAGGTAAGCAGAAGGCAAATGGATATAGGGAAAAACCCTTTTAATGATTGAAAAAACATTGTGCACAGTGGTGTAACAGGTGAGGATGGTTGACTGAATTAATACAAATTGAGTTACCGTCATAACAAATAGAAGTAAGGTACACTTCTCTACAAAATGACATGACATGACATTTACTTGGTTGTCAATGGGGAGATCAAAGAAAACCAGAAAACTGAATTTAAAAGAAGAAGAAGAAGAAGAAGAAGAAGAAGAAGAAGATAAAAGAGAAGAAAAATAAAAATTGAACCAGAAGAAGTGGTAAATCAAAACAATGGTTTGGTTTACTCGGACTTCAGTTATCCATTCATGATGGTTCAGCTTCAGATTGGCCAATTGTGAGAACTAATGTCATTGGATCAGTCTGGAAATATTGCTTATACCAAACTGTGAGCACCAATAAGTGACAGAATCAATTGGCACCCATACAGTCCTAGAGGCTGATTAACTAATAGCAACTTTACAAGCCTCTAGAGGCAATACCAAAAACAATTTCAAGTCCTCCGAAGTACATCAAGAAAGATGACCCCACTGCAATCTCCAATCCTTTAAATTTGGTTATGTAACAAGCTGCACATCAAGGTTCATACAACGAAATGGAGATTGAAGGAATGAAGAGAAAATTTAATTGTACATATACCATCAAACACACCTCAAATATTTTTCTTAAAGGGTGAGGGAGAGGAGGTTGAGAAGGTCTTCAAAGTAAAGAATGTCTATGTCAGGGAAAAAGGGAAGTTATTATCCATACCTGAACAGTCCAATTACTGCATCCTGCATAGCGCTTATTTGTTTTCACCTGCACAAAGTGACATTAAAAATGGCAATCAAGAACCATTTAAATCAAGTTACATACAAGGTATCAAAACTCAATTCTTCTTCTCCATTACATCTTCAGGCACATCTTCAGGGTTGTCATACACTGCATCAAGTGGATAGATCTTGGTGATCTTCATTAAAGAACCATCTGGCAACCTGAAATATCAAACTGCAAGTTAGTGGGTGCCATTTAAAAGGTTTACCCATTAGAATGCAACATAAAAAAACTGAAGAATCTTACGCTCGTGATTCATCAAACTTTCCTCGTCGTAGGCTGGTTTCAAAAATGTTTAAAGCCTATAAATGCAGCTTCATAGTCAACAACAGAATGGTTTTACATGGTCCAAGAAGTCCCAAAATACAGAAATAGAATCATTGTGGAAAAGAATGCATCATAAGATACTTACAGGCACCCACGTCCCAACCAGAATTTCAGCACCTGCAGCAGCAAGAGATTTTGCTATTGCCCAACCATACCCGTTGTCATCAGCCACACCAGCAATAAAAGCCCGTTTACCTGCGGAAAACTTCAAATTTTAGCTTGGAAACATACAATAACTATTTTTACAGACTATTACTGACACATTCAACATACTGTGAACTACGGTTTGGTAAAGAGTAGTCAAAAGAATGTAATACGTTTTATTTATTATCACTATAAGACGAGCATATTGAAGCAAAAAAAAAAAAGAAGAAGAAAAGGTTGTCTGCACAAATCCTTATCACATTCTAGAAAGAAAGAAACATACAAGTTTTATATTAAAGAATAAAATGAGGGAAAAAGAACAAAGGAATAGAACCCAAAATACCTTTCAAATCAATTGGCAATCCAGGCACTTGCTTACTGTCACTAGACTCAGACATTGCTTTTGTGGCAAACTTATTTAATTTAACTGACCATGACTTGAAATTCTGTACTAGAGGAGGTGGTAGAAATGATATATGAGAAGCACTGGTGAGCTTAGCCAATGATGCCTGTTTAGAATTAGAACCAAAAGTAGTGGCACCCGCCTTGAAAACTCTGCAAGAAGAGGAAAAGTAAGGCCTTGTTGTTGCCAATTGCAGGGTGGAGGCTGCAATTGCGGCCATTTTCAATAGATTAATTCTCTTAGTGGAAAATAGTGACCTGCAAAAAAATATTAAAATCATCGTCTAATCCAAAACATATTAATACAACCATACAGACAGCGCTCAAAAAAAAAAAAAAAAAAAAAGGAAAAAAAAAAAAAAAAAAAAAAAAAAAAAAAAGGGAAAATGAAAAGGAAAACACATTCAAAAAAAAAAAAAATTACATCCGCTGCAACAGGCAGAGAGAGGTTTAAGAGTTACCCTGGAGAGACGGAAAGTGCCAACGTCGAAGAGAGAAGATAAAAAAGTAGATGATGGGTCTAGACTTTACAAAGGGTTTTAGTGCTTTGTCGGAGTATTTTGGTGGGTTGCGATCAGACTAGGGCTGTCAGTGGCAGCAGCTCAAGTGTGAGTGTTTGTACTCTTGGACTCTAGTAATTCATGGGGTAAATTTCACCGGAAGGAACTAATTATGTGTCTACGCACTTTATAGAGTATAAATTTCAATTTGTAATTTAATACTCAAATTTTGATTTTTTTTTTTTTTTGACTGAGATTTGTATATTGATGAAAGAACTTTGGCCGATTTAATTCTTTTTGTTTTCGGTGTGTGGACATCCATATGGATGCTACCTGTACTTATACTTCGGTTTAGGCATGGCCACCGGTTCGGCTTGAATCAAAATTGAATCGAAATCGAACCGTACTGTAAACGAATCGGAACTGGACCAAAATCGGCTCTTCAAAATTTTAAACTGAAATCGGCGGTTCAAGAGCTGGTTAAAGTTCATGTAAATATTAAAATATGAATCAGAACCGGCCCGGAACCGGCGGTTCCAGTTCGGTTCAAACTGAAAATTTTCTATTTTTATTTTCAAAATGATAATCACTTAGCCTATTTTATATATTTCTAAAAATCTCAATAATATTATACTAAATGATATACTTTACTTAAGAATTTTTTTTTTTTTTTAAAAAAAAAAATAGACTTTATTTTAAAAGTAAAATCTAAAAAGTTAAAATAGTAAAAAAAGAAAGAACATTTAGGCTCCTTATATATTTTTAATTTTTTTTACCCTTTTAAATTGTTTGCTAAGTTTAAAATTACATTTCTTTTGAAGCATTTTTAAAAAAATTTTCTTAGAATTTAATTTAATTAAATAATATTTTAAACAAAAAAAGTGATAATTTATTTGATTATCTTTTTGTAAAATTAATTAATTTTATTCCTCATGAGTATAAGCATTCTACAATTTATTCCTACATGAGTATAAGCATTCTAATATTTATTTAAAATAAAATTTATCAATATTTTTTAAACTCATATTAATATGTACGAAATAAAGATGTAATATTAAAACCGATTTAAAAAAAAAAAACATATATCACCAGAAACCGTGAATGGAACCGTCGATTCATCGAAATTGCGTCGGAACCGGCCAGAACTAGAACCGGACCGGAACCAGCGGCTCAAGGACCGATTCTGGTTCAACATTTTAAAAAATTTGAACTATCGGTTCCGTGAACCGATAGTTCAATGAACCGGCCATGCCTACTTTGGTTGAGTTAGATTAGAAAAGTATAACTTATACAATGCATGCTATATTTTTCATATGATATTAAATTTAGGAAAATTAATTATTTAGTCCTTGAGGTGTGATAAAATTATTTGAGTAGTCCTTTCGTTTGGGCGAATATCCAGTGCATCCATGATGTTTGTATCTGTCATTCTAATTAATCCCTCCGTTCAAATTTGAGATTTTTTTTTCTTTAAATAGTAAAAAAAGTAAGAGAGATGTGAGAGAAAATATATGAACAAACATACCCTTCTCTTATTTTTCCCGTTTGGGCCACTGATCATCATCTCTATGGAGCACGCTGACCAATGACACTAAAAGCGTAGCCTTCATAGATGGTGGTCGGCGTCCAAGGCAACGATTCAGAACCCAGGTCTCATCAAACTTTACCGATCGCGTTTGCTCTCTCCTTATTCATCATCAACACCAATTCGTTCCCAAAATTATTGTCCGTGATTTTCCTATAGAATCAGTTAAGCATTTCATACTAAATCCGATATGTACGCACATAGGAAAAGAAGCAACCGCTAGTTAGTGGTAGGGGGAGGCATGAAAGAAGAAGCATCCAACATCATCGCCACAGCGAGATTGAGAATGAGAGAAATCCATGAATGAGTGGGTTTGAGAACTCCAATATTGGATTCCTGTGCGTTGATTCCAGCGTCGGGTTCTCTATCCGAACTGGTTTGTTCGTCCCCATCATCACAAGAGGCGCATCTTCAATTGCGAATACATATCTAGGTGCATCTGATCATCATGACCCAATCTATCGTATAACAGAAGCAATTTCATAATAATGGTGAGGTATGAACAGAAGTGGAGATGGAGGTGGAGATAGAGGCACAGGCGGTGGTGGTGATGATGGAGGAGTTGCAGATTCTAGGGAATTTGATTCGAAGGTGGTAATGGTGAAGGTAGCGGTCGAGAAGATGGTGAGGGTGGGGATGTTGATGTGGAGGCAGCGATAGTGGAGGCGGTGTAGGCAAAAATGGCGGAGAGGGAGAGGTCTGTGGCTTTCATATTGCCTATGGGTATTTTTGACATTTCTTGACGACTTAACGGAAAAAACAAAGGAAATTAATGGAGAGACTACTCGGAATGATGGATCCAAACATCAGCGACGCGCTAAATATTTGTCCAAAATAAATGGATTACTAAAATAATTTCATCATATCTCAGGGACTAAATAATTAATTTCCCTCAAATTTATGAACTTTGAAAATTTAAGACTCAGCGTGTTTAAAGGATAACCATGCTTTTAAAATATAATTAAGACTTTAGTTGAGTTACATGTGAAATCGAAGATTTATATGACAAAAATCACATGAATGATGTGTACTTTTTCTATGACTGGAAATATGAGAAATCTATCTGACTTATGGCTTTTCTTGAAATAGAGACAAGTAATTCTTGCGAAATTGTGTACATTGAAGAAATGTAAAGTATATGAGAATTATAATAAGTTAAAAAGAAAGAATGTGATTTTGAGGAACTTGGGATTTGTGAGTTCCTCTAACTCCCACTATCTGGTCCCGTGGGACGAGATAGTAAATGTCACATCCTATATTGGAGGCACGTACTGATTTATTTCGTAACACCTGTTGCCCAATCCTAAAAGATTAGACGGCGGACGCCATATTCGGTGGCGAAGGCACCATTGTAACTAACATATTAATCTAAAAAACTACTATATGAATTAGAAGTGATTAAGTATTCACAAGTCTAGCAAGTATTAATTTTAATATAGAAAAATATTTTGAAAATCCTACAGAAAAACTGCAAGAGTTTTCCTTAAAAATTGAACTTAACTAAAACCTGTGAATCCAAAACACTCCCAATTCAACCTCAATCATCCAACAAACTCCAATAATCAACTCAACACAAAATCAACTCCAATAGATTCATAGTCATTCATTTTCTCATCATCACCATAATAAACATCAAATTTAAGACATTAATATATATATATATATATACACACACAAAAATTTAAGACAATTGATTCATAGTCATTCATTTTCTCATCATCACCATAATAAACATCAAATTTAAGACATTAATATATATATATATATATACACACACACACACACACGTCTCATAAATCCAAACCATAAATAATTAACTTAGGAGAAATCACTACATCTAGATATTACATACATCCATATTTGTCTCCTTATACATATGCCTAAATAAAATATACTTCAAGAATACTTAAGTTACATATACCCAAATAACATTTTTTCTAATATTATTAATTATACATGCCATAACTCTTAAATACATAACATTAATTCTATGACTACCAAAAAGATCTCGTCTGCTCTAATGCTACTCCTTTGGTCTTCGAGCAGCAACCATGGTTTACAACCGGGCATTATAAAAATCGACGCGCTAAGTATAAAACTCAATGATGCCCATAAATCACATATATTCCAATGTTGCGATGACAATATACATATAAAGCATGAAGCTTTACAAGAAGTTTCATAATCATAAAATCATTTGGATATCAAACGTGCATAAGCATTCATAGCACATAATATCATATTAAACTCACAAATTAATAAAATTTGTAATTATCATCATATCATATCATATCATATATTCATTACCTTTGATATTTATACTACATATAAGCATGCTAATCGTCTTAAATCTAAATTTCAAATTAATATGCTTTATAACTACATTTATTAACATAATCACATATTCCCAAACTAAGATCATATAATATAATCTCATTAAACCTAAGGCTCCAAAACCATAGATTTCAAGTATGAAAGTCATAAATATAAATTGTAGCTCACAAGTACACATATCATGAATATTATCTTATTAATTTAATTTCCGTTAAATATTTTACTTATGGGCTTACATGCACTTAGGAGAAAATGAAGTAGATGAGTTTTCAGAAATAGAATTGGAATGACTATGTAAGCCAACAGAATCAAAGAGGTTTTAAAAGCCTAACAGAAATAGATAGAGCGAGTTCGCTCATGCAAAGGGCACTAACGTGCCTAGCATATGATCATAGCTAATAGCAGAATGACATTAAGTGCAAAGCATGCTCATATAACAGAATAAATCAAATCACACATCAAATTCACACCAAGTATATTAGAGCCCAAATCTTATTTTTCTTTCTTTTTAAATCTTAGATTTCACATAGAACTTGTTATTCTTTTAGCATACTTAAACTCATCATAGGTTCTTAGTTTAGAATCCAATAAATCATGAAACTCATACTTTGTCATAATAAACTTAACATAGGATTTTCATGTCAAAAAAGTCACTTTTCATATTTATTTCATATATTCATAAGCCAACACCATTATATCATTTCCTAAACACATGTAAGCATTCCATTATGCTAAATATAAATAAACTTCATAACATATACACAAAATTTCTCATATATCAAATCATAAGAAATATTTTAGCATAAATGTGTATCTCATCAAACAATCATTTCTTTCTCATCCAAGTCATCCCAATTACTTCATATATCATGAGAAACACAATTACGCTTAAAGCATGCATAATGTCATAATTTACCTCAAAAATCTTTATGACTTAAGTCATAGGAAACTTGACATTTTCCAACATCTACTAGAAATATTCATGCCAAACTTTAGCCACATGCTAATCATTACATAATCAAGAATTCCATTCATAAAAATCATAGAAACTCTTAGGAATACATACTAATCCTACACATAGTCAAACATAGGGAAAATTCTCATAAGAGGTTCCCATCATGCAAATTAAGTTCTAGCCATCTTAACATCATTCATTATGTTTCAACATCACTCATATATGCTCAAAACATTCACTTACAAGCTTTAGAGGTGACATTCACAACTTTTACCACACTTTAGTCTTAGGAAGTTTAACATAACTTGGCATTCATGCAATTTAGTCTCAGTAACATCAAAATACACTCACAAATCACTAATTAGAAGTCCATTCGTGCTTAAGAAAGTAAGGAAACACAAACCTTAGCAATGCACATGGTTTGGCCAAATGTAGCTCCTAGGGAAAGGGACCTTCTCCCATCAACTCGATCATTCAAATATCTTCAAAACGTGACCAAGAATATAAATTACATACCATGAGACATCAATTTAATCATATAGCTCATTTTTCCCCATTTTAGCATAACTTTAGTCATAGGAAAATCACTAAAACCTATCATTTTCACAAAGCAAGTTTACCAACTTTTAAAACATATATAAAACATTCAATTAGAGGCTTAATCACAATTTAAAAGAAGAAAAGCCCAAGCCTTAACATCCTAGGGTGATTCTTCCACTATAGGAAGAAATAGGGAAAACTTTCTCCTAAGCAATTGATCTCATGACTTCTAAATTCACCCAATAACACATTTTATTATTCAATTTAACACAATTCTTATATTAAACATAAAATCCTCAATTTCAACCTGATGGGCTAGAAAATGAAAAATGTAACATCCCTTCCCAGTCCATTCGTTAACTCGAATGAACTGAGCTGAGACGCTACAATCTAGTTGAACCTATATCCTTTCAGACTGATATCCTTATGTATGCTGAATAATATATCATGCTGTTGCTTTTTACATTAGTAAAATATAATATATCATGCTGTGCTTTTGTACATTAAGTAAAATAGAGAATATGGAATTAATATTTAAAATGAAATGGGCCCAACTATGTGCCTGTACATGCCATGAAAGAATAGACAGAACCAGAACCAAAATATCAAAATGAATAGCTACCTTGAAGACTGGGTCTTCCAAAGATGAACTGCAGCAGTTGTACGATGACTCTCTACAGTCCAGACCTAGAACCTGCGAGTTAAAATAAGTAACTCGCTGAGCAAATAAAGCTCAGTGGATATCTCAACTTAATAAGAAAGAAATACATAAATAAACATGTAATCACACATATCAGTATACTTTCATGATCTTACGTGCTGTTCATTATGCTGTATGAATTATGCACCTTTTATAAATTATACATAATACAATCTCATAATTGTATAGCTCCATAAGGTTACAGTGAAATCTAAGTGATAAGAAGAACTGTATGAATACCGTATGAAACTGGATGAATACTGTATGGCTGGGCTGCTATGGCCCATATATACTCATATCCACTCAACGGCCTGTAGCCGGAGTACCAAACTGTTGTATGGGAACAGATCTGCTATCCATGTCGCGACATAGTCGATTTACGTTGGTTTCTAACCTAACCTATTTTTGACCCTATCTACGTGGTTCTATCTATGTGGTTCTTACCTACAGTGGTTCCTACAGTGGTTTTCTACCAAATGATTCAATTATGAAATTCAAAGAAGGTTTCTTACTTGGATAGAATAGAGGTTGAAAATTAAATGCTAACTAACTACTAACCATAAAATCTTCCACTACCCATTAAATGAATGGAGGAAGGAAGGTGAAAGAGGAAAAGGAGATAAATAAGGATGAAGAAAGGAAATGAAATGGGTAATACACGGGTAGGCTCAGAATTCAAATGATTTGTGTGTAAAATTACCAAATGTACCATCAATTGTCATATGTTACAACTAGATACCTAAGCTTGATCTTTTAGTGCAAGTAAATCCTAAACCCTTATACTTTCAATTGTCAATATGTTACAACTTAATACCTAAGCTTGATCTTTTAGTGCAAGTAAATCCTAACCCTTATACTTTGATCTTTTTGTTTTATTCCAATAAGTCCACTTCTTTTACTTATTTAAGTTACATCCCATTCTACCCCACTCTAGATTTAAATGGCTCGAATCGGGTTTTAGTTCGGCCCGACTTGACTCGACTCTATGCAACGATTCGATTCAGTAGGATGTCACAAAAAATAGGAAAAAACAAGAGGAAAGAGTAATCTATGAACACTAACCTTAATTTGAAGCTTTAGAAAGCTTCAAGAACTCCTCTACACTTTTGTTTTTCCTTTTTCTTTAATAGAGGGTTCACCCACCTC